AAAATGAGAGTAAAATAAATACAGTAAAAACAAAGCTATATTATTAAATTTTAGCAGCTGTATTATTAAATTTGGCAACATGGAGTTGCCAGTCAAGATCTCTTTGCTAAGAAGGGGAGGGCAGCAAGGTTGGACAGTTGTTAAGGACACACTAGCCCTGCACTCACACCTTCTCCCTGGGATAACCTTGGACTTGATAGAGCTGAAAGGGAACCAACTTTCCCACTATGTGAGCCAATGCTAGGTAATGGCAGGTCCATGGGCCACTGAAAGTCACCTCGGGTCTCACAGAAGGTATCTGTCTCCACATTGGGCAGCTCTAGGCTTGCCCATTTCCTGCAGGAGCTTGGACACAGTGGCCAGCTGGCGCCCTGTGGCCACAGTCCATTTCAGTAATAAGAATCCTTAGAAATTCCTCAGTTCTTTCTTATCTACAAATTGTCCTCACATCCACCATCTAATACAAGCCTCACAGCAGGAATTATCATCCCCATCATCTGTCTGAACCAGAAAACTGAGGATCTCAAATGTTCAGAGACTTGTCCAGACCCACACAGCTAACACAGGCTAGGTCCATGAAGAGGAGACCCTCAACTCCCCCCTGGGATGCCTTTTCTACTCTGCCTGCATCCATCTGTCACATAGTCGGGGGCCCTTGCTCTGGGCTGGCCCTGTGCTAGGCAGTGGGGAGCAGAGGGAGGATGGTAACCTAGACTCTGCCTGTGAGGCCCTCACAATCCTGAAAGGCAAGCGGGCCAGTGAGTAAGTAGCTGAGATTAAGAGAGGTTAAGAGCTTTTACTCCGGAGTCACACTGCTCTGTGTCCCTAGCCTGTAAATGTCACCTCTCTGAGCCTGTTTTCTTGTCGGCAAAATGGGGATAATAACAGCACCTATCTTATAGGATGTGACGATTAAATGAAATAATGCATGCTCATAGTGTCTGGCACAGAGTAAGTGCTCAAAAATGTTTATTACAAGTACAAAAAATAGAATTAATGCAGGTAAAGAACGGCTGATTGGGGAAAGGGGGTGGTAGGCATGGCATGGTTCTTCACTGAGGAAAGGAAATGAGTCAAGTCTTCGAGGATGAGAATGATTTTGGGAGGGAGAACTGTCTTGCCTGTTCATGCCCTCCTCTTCTCTCTGTCGCCACTCCAAAGAGAGGGGAGAACATTCGGGGTCTCATCTCCCTTTCTCTCTACTCAGTCCCCTGAATGATATTTGAGAGGTTCTTCAGAGCCTGCCCTGGGCATTGCTGCCCCAGGAAAGACTCCCTTTTAAGTCACAATGCCAGGTCCATTCTCTCCAGGTGCTGTCCAGATGGAGGATAGGGGACCAGGCCCACTCTGGCACTCTAAGGATTCTAACAGATGTCTTTTAAAGGACTTGCCCAGATAACAAAGACCCTCCCTTTCTCTGAGGGGGTCAAGAGCCCTGTTTGCATGTCTAACTTTGTGCTCCTTCCCAGAAGCTGCAGTTGATTGGACCAGGGTGGGCACTTGACCCACTCAGAGCAGATCCTGGAAGTTTGGATCTGCCAAACCCTGGGTTCTATCTCTGAATGTGGCTGGAACTGAGGGACACAATACAGAAACTAGAAGTGGCCCAGCATCCGGAAAAGCAGAGAAACCCCAGTCTGTGGAGATAGAAAGGTGAAGGCAGCCAGGGAGGCGCAGAGAACGGCTGCTTCAATTTCTCCTGGCCTACAGGTCCCACCTCCCAGAGGCTAATGACTTTTCTGCCCCTCAGTTCCCAGGAATCCCTTGTGTCCTCATAATAAGCCCTTCTTTATGACTGAAACCAGCTTGAGTGGGTTTCTGTATATAAGCAAAGACCTCATTAAGACAAGGGAGAAGCCAGGAGCTGGAGGCACAGAGATGAACAATCCTGAAAAAATAGTCACTCTGCCTGCACTGGAGGCGCTCAGTTTAACAGGAGATAAGGAGCAAGAGCTGTGGCCTCCATCAAGACGGAGCCAAGAGAGGGTGGGCGAACTCTGTCCAGGGAGGGCCCGAAGGGTTCCTCAGAGGCTTCACAGCAAAGGTGGCAGCTGAGCCGGCTTTGAAGAATGATGGACGTTCTCCAGGGGGACAAAGCAGGAGTAGGGAGGCATTACAGACGGAGGGAACAGCAAGTGCAGAGGCACAGAGGCACAAAACAGCCTGACGTGTTAGAGGAACTGCCGGGAGTTCAAAGTATGGTGGGGAGCAGGGGAGACGAGGCTGGAGAGGCAGCCGGGCGCAGATCACAAAGGGCTTTGAATACCACGCTAAGAAGCTGAGGCCTTTCCTGTCAGCAATGGGGAGCTATTGAAGTATTTTAAGTAGCAGGGGGTGACAGGGTCAGTTTTATGTTTTAGAAAGATCGCTCTGGGGCTGCAGGGAGAAAGGACTGGAGAAGGCAGGCCTGGAGGCAGGGAGGCCATTTAGGATGCTGCAGCAATGATTCATCTGTTCCTTTCATTCACTGAACAACTCGCTGTGTACCTACTATGTGCTGGGGCAAAACAGGATTCCTGACCCCACAGAGTTCACAGTCTAGCGAGAAAGAGAGACGAGGAGAAAGCAATTCAAGCATGATGAGCATCATGAAGAAGTACGAGGTCCTATGGAGGCGAGCGGTGTTTAGTGTCTGGTTTTTAGACTTCGCTGTGGAAATGATGTGCGAGCTAGTATCTATCTGAAGGATAAGCAGGAGTTAACAGGGCTCCAGGAGGAGGAGTGCATTCCAGGATGAGGGAACACGTGTGCAGGTCCTGCAGCTGAGGGAGAGGGAGCATGGTCCAAGATGATACAAAAAGGTAGGCAAGTTCCAGATCCCACAGAGCCTCTGAGAACACGTCAGAGTCTGGCTTTTATTCCAAGAAGTCTTGGAAAGGTCTTAAGCAGGGAAATGATACAATGAAATATTTATCTTTAGAAATTCGCTCTGGCCGCAGTGTGAGAAGTGAAATGAAGTGGGCCAAGAACAGAAGCATAAGGAGACCAGTTTAGGAGGCTGTCGCAGTGGTCCCGGTCAGAGCTGATGGTGGCCTGGCATGGGGCGGTGGGCAGGGAGAGAGACGACGGACTCAGAGAGGTATTCAGAACCAACAGGACTTGCTGAAGACTGGCTGTGGCATGTGGGGGTGAGGGAGAGGGAGGTGTCCAGGCGAACTTCCAGCTTTCCATCTTGAGCAAGTGGGTGGGTGGTGGTGGCAGAGATGAGCTGGGCACACTGGAGGCAGAGCAGGTGCTGGCAGGCAGAGCTGGAGACCTGGGTTTGGACCTGAGGCTGATTGTGACACATCTAAATGTGGTCCAGGAAGCACTGAGACCTGCAGGTCTTGAGCCCAGAAGAGATCACTGAAGTTTAGAGAGTAAATGAGATGACCTGGGAGTGAGGGAGGAGTGGGCCAGTCAGTGAGAAGGGGGGCCCAGCGGCTCTGAGGAATCACGGCAGCAGCAGGGGCTGAGGGCAGCATGACCAGGAGCTCTAAGCTTGGAAAACCAGAGCCATGAAAGCCAAGGGTTACTTCTCTCAGCCCTGGGAGGCATCACGCCTTGACACAGGCACTTCCCAGCTGACAGACCTCCTTTCCCCACAACACCTTCTTCCTCCTGGCAAACTCCAGAGTTATCCTTCTGACCAGCTCAGGAGGCCCCTCCTCCTGTGAAAACTTCCCTTGTCCAAGTCCCAGGTGCTCTGCAGTCCGACAACCTGGGTTTGAACCCCAGCTCTGCCACTTGACAGCTGTGTGACTATGGCCAAAACACTTAACCTCACTTGTCTCATACATACAACAGAAATAATAACAGTATCTACCTCATAGGGCTGTTTGAAGATGAGTCTGTAAAGTGCTGAGCAGAGAACCTAGCACACAGTAAGCACTAAATAAATGTTACTATTATTAACATCCCACCCACCTTGGGACAGTTAGTCATGCCCTCCACCTTCCTCCTCCTCCACCTGGGAACTATTTGCAGGTCTGTGTCCCTCCCTGGCTCTTCCTATCCCTACCCAATTGGCAGGACTATATAACATGCAGGGCCCAGTGCAAGATGAAAATGCAGGACCCCTTGTTCAAAATCATTGAGAATTTCAAGATGGTGACAGAAGAACATTAAACCAAGTGTGGGGTCCTTCTAAGTGCAGGGCCCTGTGCAACCATAGACTCATGGACCAGCCCTGCCCCTACCCCCAGCCAACCCTGGGCCTGGCTCAGAGGAGGTGTCAGCCCCCATATGATAGAATAAAAATGCCAAGCGACACTGAGATAGAACTTTGCAATTTCCATCTGGAATTTCATTTTATCTTTCCCACAGAGAGATGACATCAACCCTCAGTGTCAAGGACACTGAGGTTCAGAGATGGGTGTGCCTTCCCAGAGGTCACACACCTCATGAACTGCAGAGCTAGGAGGTGAACATAGGCCAGCCTGGTGCCAAAGCCCTGCCTCTTGCCCTCTGGCTCCTTGGAGGGGTTGGGAGAACCTGGCCCCAAGGGATGATCTACATCAACAAGGCTGAGATGCACCTCAGCCCAGAGAGAGGGAACTGGAGAGACTGGGACCGGCCCCCTCCCTCCTGGGGCAAGCCACATAAACAACCTGCTCCCTGGGCACCAGCGCTGCACACAGGGAAGGGGGTAGGAGAGGGCAAAAGGTCACTCCAGAAAAGGCTCTGGCTGAGGGCCATAGACCCTAGCCCACCCTCTCTGGAAATCAGACCCTGCCTCCTCTGCTGAAAACCTTTTAGGGGCTGCCATTGGCCTCAGAATAATTCCCAAGTCTAATATCTTGCTAGACCAGGGAGGTCCGACCTGGGTGTGCTGACACCTGCCCACTCTCTACCCTCTCTCCACCACTGCTGCCCTCCTCGACCACACCAGGCCTGTTCCCATCATCACCAAGCCTTAGCACACAGTTTCCCTTCCCTCATCCCTTCTTTGCATCCTCAACTCCCTGTCACCTGTGGCTCCCTGAATCCCTCCTTTCAACACACGTCACACGTGTAATTACCTGCTGTGGGCCGTCTCCTGGCTAGACTGGAGGCTCCATGGAGGCAGTGCTGCCTGGCTCATAGATCTTGGTACATCAGGTGTCTGAATGCACCCTCCTGCAACAGAGGCAGGAGGGCCCTGCACTCTCTCTCCCCTTCACTCCACTCCTTCCCAACCCTCCTTTTCTTGTCCAGACATTTTGAGCTCAAAGTGTGAGGAGCCCAAACTTGCAAAGGGAAGAGAATCATCACAGCATATGTGCCCTCCACCTGCCAGCCCTGGGCTGGGTGCTGTACATCCAGTTACTACATTTAATCCCCCAAGGCACCTTCCAGATGCAGTGGGCCAGTATGGGTGTAAATTATTCCTATTTTCCAGAGGAGTTGAGGCTACCTGCTGAAGCGGTAACAGAGCCTGGAAGTGGAGGAAGTGGGATTTGAACCCAGGTCTGCCTGATGCCCAAGTACCTGGTGTCCTCTCTACCCCATGACTCACTGTTCCCAGCTAGCTCACCTCCAACCAGACAGCAATTGTTTCTACCCCGTGCCCTCAGTTCACACACACCCCAGGCGGCACAGCTCCTGTTGGGTCAGCAAACCACCGGTGTAGGAGACGGCTCCACTGTCAGCAAGAGGCCAGTGCAGAAGTCACCCCTCCCCTGGCTCAACGAAATGCCAGTGTTGGAGAGATACTCCCCAAGTCAGCCAAACACTAATGGGGGAGATACCCCCATTGTCAGCAAAATGCAGATACAGGAGGCATATCCTGCACCCCAAGTCAGCAAAAGGCCTGTGTAAGAGACACACCCCTCTGCCCAGGCCCATGACTGGGCTGGGGTGCACAAAGTCCTCCAAGGTGGTGCTCCTGGGGTAGGGGCGGGGGAGGCACTGGGGCTGGGGCTGCTGCTGTGGCCTGGGGGAGAAGGCTGTGGCTGGGGAGGGGGGCAGACTCGGGTGAGAGTTCTCACATGGCACTAATGAAATCAACCATTAGCCTGCCCCCCCCCACCCCCTCCCCAGGGACCCTCCAGGCTCCAGCTGATGCAATGCCCAGGCTGGATAATTGTTTTCTTCCCTCCTTAAAGGGCCAGCTGCTGTTGCAGCTGCAGACATCACCCAGACCCCTGAGAGACCCCACAGAGCTTAGCACTTGGTTAGGATAGAGGGAGCCCAGAAAGTAGCAGTTCAGCCCTGGGATCTGCAGACTAAAATCCAATTAATGTCCAGAGACCAAAAGTGTCTGTGAGCAAGGAGGGAGGGAGAGATAATGGTTAAGACAGAGACAGGGCTTGGCCCAGGAGACCACACGCCCTGAGGGAAGGGACCTTGGTCCCTGCTGCATCCTCAGCACCTGGCTCCTACCTGCCTGTCCCGTCAAGTCCTTGGCACAGGGGTTGCTTGTGAGTTCAGCAGTTATCTACTGAGCTCCCCTGAGTACCAGGCACTGTGCTAAGCAGCTCAAATCCACCATTTCATTTACTCCTCCCAGCAGACCTAGAAGGTAGGTCTGTTTTACTGCAGGAGGCTCAGAGAGGGGAAGTGATTTCCTCAATAGCACACAGCTGGAAAGTGGCAGAGCCTGGGTTTCAAGCCAAGTTTGCCCGACTCTGGGCTTCATACCCTGCAGAGGGTTGGGTGGGTGTCGAACCCCAGGGCTGGAGGTCCCTAAGCCAGGCAGCCTGGCACAGAGGGCAGGGAAGGGGTCTGTGGGCCCTAAACAGGCTCTGAAGGGCATGGTGCTTGGTTTAAGCACAGGTTTCACAGACCCCTTCCCCAACCCCAACCCAAAAGAGAATGCCCCATTAGGCTGCCCACATGCCCCTGGGGATAGTTGGCAGCTGCCTGATTACAGACTAATTGGGGGCTGGCAGCAACTGTGGGGCTGGCTTAACCCCTTGGTGATCAGGCCTGGCCCAGAAAGGCCCTCTCCCCACGACTTCAGGCCCAAACCCAGGGACCCTAGACTTAAGAAGTCATCATGGGCAGACGACAGGACCAAAGGGAGAGCAGCCTTCCTCTCCACACCCAGACAACACTCCTGGGGCTGGGGTTGGACACTGGCATTCACCCAGGCTCCCCAGCCCCGAAGGGCCACATCCAAACAGCCCCCAGGTGGCAGTGCCACCCAGTGCCTTGTTCTCTGGTCTTGGGTATGGCATTGCACACCCCACCCAGGACCACAGGAGCTATGGGCCCTCCCTGGGTTTCCAGGCCCAGGATACTGGGAAGAAACCCACTCCTCAGTCCTGGGTTGTCCAGACAAGGTGATGTGAGCATGGGTCCAAGCAGCCCGGAGGCCAGCCACTGAAGATACCCTCCCCCTGAAAGAGAGGGTGCCCAGGTTCCCCCCGCAAGGGTCTTGCCAAGTCCTCCTGAACCTTGGACTCCCCACTGTGCATTGAACAACTGCCTTTCCCAGCTTCCCAGAAGCCCCCTTTTCCCACCCTAGCGCTGGAGTGAGCACCACTCCTTTTCTTTCATGGGGTGGGGAGGTCCTCTGGGCACCACAGTGGTGTCATATTGGGAGGAAAGAGTGGCTGCTTCTCAACCAGGGCACGAGCAGGAGGGAGAAAGGCAGGCTGCCTTCCAGCTCCCTTTCCAGGAGAGATTTTAAGCACTTTCCAAAAATGCCATGCCAGGCAATGCTGCTGAAGCACAGGGCCCCAGGTGCTCTGAGCATCAGCAAGGAACTCAAGACTCTGGGGTCCCCTACCCCATTTTCCAGGCTTCCTCAAACACCCCATGCTCCCCTCTCATACCTCAGCCCCCAACCCAGAGCCATCATACACACTGTGCACATCCTCCGGGCCCCCGCCCCCTAGACCCTGCACACTCAGATCCCTACGTGGCGCCTCACGGCTGGAGCCCCCCTCCCCTCGCCAGTGGTCTCCCAGACCTCCGCAACCCCCTCCCCACGTCCACTCCCAGGCGAGCAAGGCCTACTGACTTACCCAGAGGTGGGGCCGGGGTCCAGACACGGAGGAGTCTCCGCTGGCCGAGGTGGCTCCGCAAGGCGGGGCAGGTGCGCCCCGGGACCCCGCCCCGCGGACCCGGCGGTAGGCGCGGCCCGGTCCCAGGCGGGCGGCGGACTCCGAGGGGGTAGGGACGCGGGGCGGGGAGGGGCGACGAGTGAGGCTCACGGGGGCATCGCCCGCCGCCAGGCCGGGCAGCTCTGCTCCGCCCGCCTGCGCTGCCGGCTCCGCAGCCGCCACGGTTCTCAGCCGCCGCCGGCTGCAAAGCCCAAGCCCCGGCTGGCGGGAGGCGAAGAGGGAGGCGGGGCCTGCTGGGGGCGGGGCCTCGGCCGGCTGGGCGGGGCCATGAAAGGGGCGGGGCCAGTCGGGGCAGGGCTTTGGGTGGTGGGCGGGGCCTAGGGAATTGGGAGAGTCTGGGTTTGCCTGGTTGGGGGCGACCTAGAGGCCGGGGTCTAGAGGACGCCTCAAGCCTCTCCACGTTCCTAGAACGCTGCTGCCTCATGCCTGGTCCCTGTCTACACCACCGTCTCTGTCTATTCTTTCTCATCCTTCCTTCTCTTTGGTGGCACCTCCCAGGACCTCACTGGCACCGCGGTACCCCCGCCCCACCCTGGACCAGATCCAGGAACGTCAGATGGTAAGAGAAGGGGGAAATGACTTACAAACATTAAATCCAGTTTACAGATGGAAAACTGAAGTTCAGAGAGGAGAAAAGACTTGCCTGAGTGCCTGCTATGAAGAAAAAGACTTTGTAACGTCCCTCTCAGACAGAGGGTAAGGGAGTAGGGAGGGTCCTGCCCTGAGACCCTCTCTACTTCTCCTAGAGCAGTGGTTTACAACTTGGGGCAATTTTGCCCACCAGAGGACATTTGACAATGTCTGGAAATTTCTTTGGTTTTCATTGGGGGTTGCTACTGGCATCTGGTGAGACGCAACCAGGGATGCTGCTAAACATCCTACAATGCACAGGACAGCCCCCACACCAAAAAATTATCGGGCCCCACATATCAATATTGCCCAGGTTGAGAAACCCTGCTCTAGGTCGTGGCATCTGCCTAAATGAACTTACAAGTGGGCTCTCTGAGTCCTGGGTTCCTCAAAGCCTGGGACTTGAGGAGGATGCTAAATAAAGACTCTCCTAGGGTCATGCCTGCCCCATCTTGCTGTGTTAACCTTGCTTAGCTGGTCAGTTCCACTTTTAGGTTCCAGTTCTTAATTCCACTCATTTACAAAGGGGACAATATTATTAGTATCTGCTTTCCTAATTGTTTGCTGGAGGCAGGGAAAACAAGTATTCTGCCTGCTGAGGGCATGGATTAAAATATGAATGCAGAGTGGAAAGGTGTGGGGGAAAAGGACAATGATTTGGGATTAAATGACACACTTGGGGATAGCTTGCTGTATCTTCTACATACTCCTCAGCCTATGTCATCCCTTCTCACCTGGTCTGTGAGAAGGGTAAACTGAGACTTAACAACACGGAGAGCCCGAAGCTGGGTCCCACAGCTGGCCAGTGGTGGAGTTGTAACTCACAATTTTATTCACTTATTAATTAAACTTTTGTTATCATCTAATCTACATCAGGCCTAGAACTAGGGCCTGTGTCGTAGAACAATTGCTCTGGAGCAGCAAAGGGAATTAGATTAGGGGAGAAGAGATGGAGGCCAGGGAAGCAGCTGCAACAGTGGTGGAGGAGCAGGATGGGAAGAGCAGAGCCTGTGAGGATGTGGGGGAGAAGAGAGGAGTCAAGATTCCTCTGTGCTCATCCCTTGCACGCCATCACAGAGACAGGTAAACCAGGGGCCCCTTTTGGAATCATGGTCTCTTTGCACATCTGATGAAAACTTGGACTTTCCCTCTGGAGAAATGTGCAAATGTACATTTTGCATATCATTTCAGGGACTCCAAAGCTCCATATTGGCTTCCAGAGGATTGGGTGGGGGGGTGGGGTGGCGGTTGAATCTTGAATGCATGTAGAATAAATATGCAGGAATAAAAAATCCAGAAAAAAAAGTAATGGAGAGGAATTTGCCTTACCTGATATTAAAACATATTACAAAATCAGTATATTTAAAGCAGTGTGGTATTGAGGCAGGACTAGCTACACGAATCAGTGGAACAAAATGGAGTACAGAAATGGGTCCAACTACACCAGGGAATTCAGTGTATGATAAAGATAGCACTTCAGGTAAATGGAGGGAAATAAAGGCCTTTCAACAAATGGGTGGAATATCTGGCAAGCCATTTGGGGAAATAAAAGAAAGCTGTGTCCTTACCCTACACCGAAGTAAATTCCAGGTGGAGCGCATATTTAAATAGTAACACCATAATGTACCGGAAGAAAACATGAGTGAATGTTTCAATAATCTTGGAGATGGAAAAGGCTTTCTAAGCACGTCAAAAGGAAAGGGAAGCCAAAGAGAAAACATCGATACATTTGACTATAAAAACTTCTACAGAGAAAAAGTGGTCATACTCAAGTTTGAAAGACAAATGACAAACTGGAGGAGATAAATGCCAGTGGCCCTCCACACTTGTCCTCTCTGGCCCGCCGGCCCCTCCCCCAAGCCAACAAGGGGACGAGGCCGGGGCGGTGAGAGTCGAGGCCGGGCACATCGCGGAGGCTCCTCCCACGGCGCCCTGGCCAGCGCCCACCTGTTCAGGGGCCGGGAAGCCCCGGAAATCCCAGCCGGGCCATCTGGGCGCACAGCAGGTGCCCTAGCCCAGCGGAGCCAGAGGGTGCTCACCACTTCCCTCGGGTGGCCATCCTGGGAACTGCAATCCTCGGTTCCAGTTCCTGCAGCTTCCGGGCGTTAAGGCGGGAATTTTTTCTTAAAAAACAGCTAAATTTTTGAGGGAGCTCACCATGTTCCAGGAATTGTGCTAAACACATAGAGTATTTCATTTGATCCTCAAAACAACTCTTCTAGGTAGGTCCAGTGTATTATCACCTCCATTTGACAGACGAGGAAACTGAGGCTTTGAGAGAAGTGATGTGGCAATCTCTAAGTGATGGCATACAATTCATTGCAGGACTCCTGGCCCCACTCTTAGTATAAGAAAGGCAAGTCCTTGGGGGAATTCAATAAAACTTTTTTGAGGTTTACTTTAACCCCAGGAAGGGGTGGGAGGAACGGGGAGGGGTCCCAGAGGAGACATCCTTGAAGCCGAGTCTTGTGGAGTTTGAGGGAGGGGTGAAGGAGGGGGGCAGCACTTACAAAGGCTGGAGGAGGAAGAACGGGCCTTGGGGGAGGAGTGTGGTCTGTGTGCCCCAAATTTGGGGTAGGGTGGAGATGAGGCTGGACAAGAATCTGGGCACAGAGGTGCTTGAGTACAAAGATTTTGAGAACTTTTCCATGTTTCAATTGGCTTAGTCTAGGGCCACCTGCTCTGCCAACCCAGGCTGCTTCTTTCCACCCAGATGCTCCCCACCTAGGATCAAGGTACCATTTGCCTAAGCCAGAAACCTGGGAGTCACTCTTGACTCCTCCCTCAACCTTACCTCCATCCAGTCAGTTATCAGGGCCTGCCCAGTCTACCTCCTAAAACTCCCCAGGGTCATCCACTGCTCTCCATCTCATGGCCCCTCCCCTCATCCAGACTGCCTTCCCGTCCCTCCTGAACCCAGCTGCTGGCAGTGACTTGGTCTCACCACCTCCAAATTTTCACACAAGAGAAATCCTTCTCAAACAAATCGGACCACATCCACTTTCCTGTTGGAAACTCTTTTCATGGATCCATTCAACAGATATTGAGCAAGTGCTTGTTATATGTCAAGTACTGAGGACAGGTGACAAGCAAAACACAGAAATTAAAGCCTACTGAGGGATAGAGATCAATCAATGACCCCACCACCACCACCAAAATAATATATAATTACAAGCTGGGATGCGTGCTATAGGACAGCCTGCCCTGGTAAGAGAGGTCCTAGAATCTCCCTAAGGTATCCTATCTGAAGTTTGAATAGCAATCAACCAGATCAAAGAATCAAGGATGAGGTAAGAGCTTATGCAAAGGCCCTGAGGTTGCTTCTCTGAGTCTCAGTTTCCTCATTTATATAATTGGGGTATTTAGTGTTGTGAGGATTAAATGGGTTACTATGTATAAAGTCCTTAGTACAGGTCCTAGGACATAATAAATTTTCCATAAATGTTAGCTATAATAATAAGTATTACTATTTTTTTTTAAGTGGAGAGTCATTTGAGGTCTATCAGCAGAAGAGTTAAATGAGAAAGTAGCATTTTAAAAATATCCCTCTGGCTGCAGTGAGGAGCATGGATTGGAACAAGGAAAGAGTAGATTCAGGGGAACCAATGAGGAGACTTTTGCAGGGGTTCATTGAGAGCTGTGGGGCATTTAAACTAAGGAGGCAGAGAGAATTTGAAGAGATTTTGTGGTTTAGTGATAGAAACTACTGGCCTTGGTGTTTGCTTGGTGGTAGGAGGTTGTAGAAGGTGGCAAGGAGGGACTTCAATGTTTTGAACCTGGGAGCAGGTTGGGTGGTAGTGTTCTTAACCTAGTCAAGGAAGCCTGGACGAGGCCTGGGGAGAAGCTGAGTCCAGTTCTGGATATATTCAGATACAGGTACTATGAAGCGTCCTGGATGAGGGGCTGCAGAAGCAGCTGATTAGGACTGGAGTTCAGAGGAAAAATTGTGTCTAGAGACATAAAATTGAGATTGTTGGCAAATAAGTAAAAATTGGACCTCAATCATCCTGTCTGTGAAATGATGGGAGAAAGGAGATAGCGAGATGATTGTTAAGGTTTCCCCTGGCTCAAACATGTATAGGATTCCAAGTGTTGAGGTTGGTAGGACCACAGAGACAGAGAGAAAAAAAACCCATGTGGCCTGAAAGACTTGGCAGAGGCTCCTTGGAGGCCATTTGTCATTCTTTCATTATCTTTTACTGAGCTGCTACTAGGAGCCACGAGCTCTACTGGGGATGGAAGGGTAAACAGGACCCAGCCTCTGCCCTCAGGGAATTCACAGCCTGATGGGAGAGACAGACAAGGCAAAGGGCAATTACGTGCCCGTAAGGCCAGCTTGGGAGACCAAGCTTCCTAGAAAGGAAGTGACATCCAGACAAGACCTGAAAGTCAGGTGGAAGAAAGCTGTGTGGAATCCAGGCTGGGGAGCGTTGTTCATATGGATATTTCAAAGATCCTCATCCCTCTTGAATTTTTCACGTTGAACTCTCCCCGTGCCCCCTGAAAGTCCATTTGGGGAACAAAGGCCCTGGCAATAGTTGCATTTCTTTGAATAGCTGTATT